CGTTTTTGGAACCAGCATACCTCGAGTAAGCAAGGATTGGGTTAATCAACCGAGAGTTCAGGGTTTAGTAGATGGTAAGTTAACCTTGCTTTCTGGAATACACCCTTGATGCTTTGTTTAAGGTTGTCTCCCAGGTGCTTTGTCTCCATTTCTAAGCTCTGCTCCATAAAATGTACAATGTATCGCTGCCTTAGTCTGCAGTGCGACAGCAAGTTCTCAATAAAGAAAGCCTTCCCTTCAGTTTCCTACAGTAATTTATTGATTGATTGATTGATTTGGTGTACGTACATAGTAAAGACTCTAATATAAAGTGAGACCTAGTATTTTAATGTTATTAAAATATTACAAAACAATACATTTTAAGTGTTACAAAATTATTAAAATATATAAATATAGTCCAGCAGAGCTTGGCTTCAACCCTCAAACATAAGCTTCTTTTTTTTTTTTTATGGCTTTTGGCTATTTAATCATTTTTATTGCTATTTCCTTTATCAGTTTATGGCTATAAAATGGGGAAGTAACTGTGAAAAGATTATGAAGATATGAAAGTAAATCTACTGGTTCTTGGATGATAATTATTTGAAGATATTATGAACTCTGCTTTATCATACACCCCTTTTAACATTTTAATCAGTTTATACCTCTGGTATAAATGGTTTCTGCATTCGAACATTACACTATTTAGTAGTTTCAGCATAATGACTAATGCATTCAATTGAATTAATTTCTATATCAACTATTATTTGTGTATATTTTATTCTAGGAACATTGCACTGCTGTATCTTAAGGACTTTTATTTTGGTGTGGCGCTGTGACGTCACAAGGCTGCGCCGCGCTGTTGTGATTCAGCTGAAGAACGGTTTGTGCTTTTAAGCATTTAAAGTGTTTAAATCAATGCAGCCCGTACGGGCTTTATCTAACATCTTTTAGCGTTACTTATGTGAGTAAAGCGCATCCACACACACGCGTTACAGAGAAGACGCGTCTCATTTCGCTCCTTTTATCGTGAATCAGTTTATAGTAAACACGAGTTCAGTCACTGGTGAGTAGAGATGGAGAAACTGAGCTTTTCAAACTTCGAGTGAATTGAATCAAATGCACCGCAAATGATTCAGTGATTCAAACCGCTCGGTTCACCGCACACTGGCGACATCTGCTGCTCAAACCCGTGTAAATACAACAACAAACACATGTAATGACAACTTTAACAAACCAACTGCAAATGTTTTTATTTAAAGTGGCAAATTCATTCTATAAATGCCTAATGTAAACCATAAGTGTGCAGACTACTGAACTAGGGAGCTGATTGAGACGCACCAGAGATTCGTTCAGACTGTCAGCCCAAATCTGATTTGTGCTTATCCGGATGGAATGACTGACTGTGCACACTGTGCATATCCGCTTTGTGTGTCCATAAGCGCTCTTTCGTTTTAGGGAATGTGCATTGGTTTCTATGGCAATGCCGTTGCGTTGTTATGCCTATGCAGCAATACAGTTTGCAATACAGGGGCCTGTTTCATAAAACAAGTTTACCAAATAAGCCAGGCTTATTCAGTTAGTCTGACTTATTGTCACATGATTTGGTTTCAGAAAGCAAATTTACCACAGGCCCCAGGTTAGTTTCTCAGCATAAGTTGCCACAGTGACTGAGCTTGAGCTATGTTAAATTTGCTTTCTGAAACCAAATCATGTGACAATAAGTCAGACTAACTGAAATAAGCCTGTCTTATTTGGTAAACTTGTTTTATGAAACAGGCCTCGAGGCATTAAATAATGACTAATGCATTCAATTGAATTAATTTCTATATCAACTATTATTTGTGTATATTTTATTCTAGGAACATTGCACTGCTGTATCTTAAGGACTTTTATTTTGGTGTGGCGCTGTGACGTCACAAGGCTGCGCCGCGCTGTTGTGATTCAGCTGAAGAACGGTTTGTGCTTTTAAGCATTTAAAGTGTTTAAATCAATGCAGCTCGTACGGGCTTTATCTAACATCTTTTAGCGTTACTTATGTGAGTAAAGCGCATCCACACACACGCGTTACAGAGAAGACGCGTCTCATTTCGCTCCTTTTATCGTGAATCAGTTTATAGTAAACACGAGTTCAGTCACTGGTGAGTAGAGATGGAGAAACTGAGCTTTTCAAACTTCGAGTGAATTGAACCAAATGCACCGCAAATGATTCAGTGATTCAAACCGCTCGGTTCACCGCACACTGACGACATCTGCTGCTCAAACCCGTGTAAATACAACAACAAACACATGTAATGACAACTTTAACAAACCAACTGCAAATGTTTTTATTTAAAGTGGCAAATGCATTCTACAAACGCCTAATGTACACCATAAGTGTGCAGACTACTGAACATAGGGAGCTGATTGATACGCACCACATTTTATTTCTGTTAATTATTGTCATCTTAATCATGACAGAGTGTCCAAAGACATAAAGTAAAGATGGCGTCTATTAAAGAGGAGAGTGAAGACATTAAGGTTGAAGATGCAGTCGGTGTGAATCAAGAAGATGATGAGGAACAAACAGGTTGGTTTTCATTTGTTTCCCAGTTGGTCCTTAATGAAATGTTTTGCTCTACAGAAATGAATGATTATTGAAGATTATCATACGAGTGGTTTTTAATAAAAAAGTGGTTTTGTTTGACATGGAGCCTAATGTGGACAGAAATGTTGAGATCACATGACCAGACGAATACTAACACTGCATTTAAGTGCAGCTGAGAAGATCCTACTTAAAAGTTAGGCATTAGTTATTGTGACATAACGCATTGAGGCAACGTCCACACGAAGTCAGAGCTTTCCCTATCCCAGGGCTGTACGTTAACTTTTTTTTCACATAGCACTGGTGCTACAGAGGTTGAAAGTTTTGTAGCACAGGCCAAAATGTTGTAGCACAAGTATAAATGGAAGAGTGCGGAAACATAACACCTCTTACACCTTAAGAAAATATAAAATAAAAAAGAATGGCAGACATTTAGGCCAAAGTGAGCAAAGATAAAACAGAACCGGCTTTTTTAGCAAAATGCGCATGACAATCGCATTCGATTAATCGTGCAGCCCTACATGCCAGATCAGTATGTGGCGCTGTAATTCTGCCACAGAGATACACTAAAAATGGAGAAGAAGACTTGGATTATCTTGCGCGCGGTATACAAACGAACATAGAACAATACATTTGTTAATCTGTGTTAATGTTAGTTAATAAAAAGAGAATCGTTCAGTGTTTGTTCATGTTTTTGTTGCTGTTACGTGACGTAGCGGTGTCTGACTAGCGGCGAGACGTGGGCTGATGACGTAAGGGCGAAAACGCAAGGGCGGCGGTTTCAGATTTATCCACTCTGGGACCCCGTTTCAAAAAATATCGGTTTCACTCTCCCAAAACGCCGGATCCGTCTGGACGAAACGCCTATACGATACAAAATTCATGCGTATACAGCTAAACGCGTCTCTGTGTGGATGGGGCCTAAATTAGAAAAAAATAATACACAAGTAGCCTAAACGAAACAGTTTCATTAATTAATTCAGCTCTCCAATACTATTGTCATAATGTGGTCGAATACATAGGACTTAAACCATGCTAATGCTTCTCCACGAATGCCAAAATAATTCTCAAGCCATCCAAAATAATATTGTGGTGTATGTTGCTGAAAGATGTAACCGCACTATATGAAAGATGCAAGTCTTAGCAGCACATTTTCTCTGTGAAGATGAGGCTTGATTTCTAAATGGTATTACACAAATACAGTGTCTTTGCAAAACTGGACATCGTTAAGAGGACAGTCTTTTAATATTATTTCAGAAACAAATGGATCACACAAAGTGCTTGAATTTAGCTTTTTTAGAAATTTAAGGTTTGAAATACCTGGAAAAACGACTTGTTTTGTTGAAAAGTACATAAAGGAATGTATGTGGTTTGCACAAGTGAGAAACAAATATAAATTGGTGAGATTTCATAGGCTTCATACCTAAATGCCTAAAGAACGCTGCATAAAATACATTTATGAGGAAGAAATTGTAATCCACAAATATTATATGATAATCGGGCTCGATTCCCTCTTCTGTCAAAAGTTGCCAGAAAATATATGACTATATATGCGCTACGAGTCGCAGCGTGTATTCAGTGCGGCTGGAAACATTGTCACTCCGTTAAAGGTGCTGTATGTAAGTTTTTGACTCTACTAAAGCATAAAAATACCATATGTTTGCAGATATTTAAGAAACATGCTAAGTTAACATACTTGTTTATCTGAAAAACAATGCTACAGTCAGTTATTCTCCTTTGAAAATGTGCGTTCCGGGCCAGAATGTCGTCTCTGTTTTGGTTTGTGAAACCCATCCACTGCCGGTTTACCCAATTGTATTTCGGGACCCCGGGTTGCCAGTTGGCGGAAAACACAGCGCATTTAATTTCATTCATCGGCATATGCGCTCGTTCCTGTTGGTGTCGTCAATCTGGCAACCTGCGTGTGTGTCAAGTCTGAGGAGGAGGGGCCGGGTGAAAAAACCCCCTCCAATATTTTGAATTTGGACTGCAATACCTAGTTCAAGAGTACCTAGTGCCTTTAAGATCCTCGCTGAAACCAGACAAAGTGAACATGTTGGTTTTCCTGGCACGAAACATAAAGACCGAAAAATAAAGCAGCAGGACTTGCCGATTCACTTAAGCGGCCTAGTAGTTGTACAACAGCCAGACACTTGTACAGATTATAGACCTTTTTCATCGCTTCTCCATGGAGGGCGCCATAGCGGCAAGTGACTTCCTGTAGGATGCTTCGAACTTCCGTTTAGTAGCTGTCATCAACTAGAGGACGTTAGCAGTGATGGCGAATAGTGGAGGCTCTGGGAAATTTTGTGCTGTTAAATAGGCTTGCCGCGATAGACGGTGATACCGTTGTTAAGCCGCAACACCGGTTACGTCACTTGCCCACCGCGTCACCGACCCCCACCGTCGTTTTGATTTTTTTATAGTAATAAAAATTGTTTAGTTCAGTAAAAGAACAGACACTACAATTAAAAACTGAACGCGGCTGCTCAATGCAGCGTGCCGAACGACTCAGATCAGATCATCACAGATCAGATTTCATTTCTCCAGTGAGGAGAGTGAGTCGAGCTGACTGACAAGAAGAGTGAGGTGAGACAGACAAGACGATCGCAGATGATTTAGTTTCGAAACTAGATGCAAAAGCACCTGTTTGGCAATATTTTGGATTTTGAAAAACCTGTTGACTTTTGCCGTTTATCTGATTTTGGAAGTTTTTTAAAACATTCGTTTCTTATTTAATTGGTTCCACATTGTTTGCTGATTTTTACTTTATTTAAACTTTGTGTCATTTATTTATTTTATTTGACATCAAGTTTGCTAATAAACGTTCTACGTTTCTTATTTATTTGGTTATATATTATACATGCTTACTTATTTCCAGTTTTGTATACCTATTAAACTTTATGCAAGTTATTTGTTATTTGATATTAGGCATAGCCTGCCCTATAGCATGGCGTATTTTTATTTGTTTTGTTAACAATTGCTTTATGCCGAATTGCCGGTATTTGAAAGTGAAAGTAAAATGCGCACGCCGCTTTTACAAGCTATTTAAAAGCGAAGGAAAGTGAGGAAAAGAGGGAACGCCGCCGCGGTGATACCGGTATTACCGGTGTTGTCACACGTCGATTAACCGGTGGGAAAATTTCCTCACCGTCACAACCCTACTGTTAAAGGCTGTCACAACAGCTACAGAAAGCTCAAAACAGTTTCTCGATCAAGAGTGTTATGAACACAAGCCAACAATAAGAGAAAATCAGAATATATTGTTTAATTTGTTATTATTGCACATTGCATCACCATTAGCACTTTTTTAGAGCTCAACGATTTTGTTATAACTGAAGTGGATAATTGGTTAAATATTGCTGTAAAAATACGCCTTTACATTGAATCACGCAGCACATGCAGACAATTTGAATGCATTTGCTATACGTTTAGCCACACTAGCAGTGTTGCTCTATTTATAAATACCCACCTTCCACAACACAGCACCAGCATGGTTACAAGACCTGCCAGGGCCAGCTACGCAGGAGCATCCAGCTGTTTTACACTATTTTGTAACATAACCAACGCGATGTGATTGGGTTTATTTATAGCCTGACTCTGCTCTACCTCTGCTTTCAGTAATGCGAACTTGCTGATGTTTATGACAAATAATTTCTCCAATTTTATTACTGTGTAGATAATGCATTCGTGCTTTGATAATTTCTAAACTCCTCACCATCTACACCCTCAGACAAAACAAGATAATTGAACGTGTTAACATATGTGACTGCTGGCCATTGTTTCATATCACCAATCCAGGTGGTGGCGCTGGTCAACTTCGTAGGATGAGGAACAAAGTTATGTCGTTTACGGTCTTTGTTAAATAGTCTTGATCGTGCTTCCACTGCGAACTAATGTTGCCATTGCTTGTTGACATTATGGACATTAAAAAGTAAAACTGATTATTACCATAGTTTCAGAGCTGTCCAAATAACTAAACACACCAAGCTGCGATCCGGAAGTTCGGAGCATCCTCCCTGCGCATACGCGCAAAGCATAATGGGTAATTTCCCATTCCATGAAAAAGGTCTATAGGCTAGCCTGATGTTCCCTTTTTATGTTCTCATTTGAAAAACCCAAATCAGAAAAAAAGTATTTTATGTTGCACTTTAAAAAAGGTTGTTATTAGCCTAATTAATAGTTAAATAATATTCATGATAATTTGCTGTTACAAACGATGAATTATTCAAAATTTCAACAAGTTGCATTTGGAGGAGTGCGTATTTTTGATTTTTCAAAAATAAATCGCAGAGGATTTTTCAGGTAAAAATCCACAGACTTTTACCTGAAAAACAATGTCTAAAGAATTAGGAATTAAACCGAAGTTTAGCA